GGGGGGGGGGGGAGCACAATGACCGGGTTGGTCCAATAGGCATGAATCTCAGGAGTTAAATGAGAGTTACTAAAGCTAGAAGAGCTTTCTTTCCTGCCAGACTTGGACCTGGGAAGACGTATCTTCAGAGCCACTGAGAACCATCTCAGCCTGAGAATGATGCTAATGGCAAGTTAATGGAGTCTGGAGCACTGTGTGTTCACTTAGGGATGACCTGAGTTTGGAGTGTGGGAGCTGATGGAAAAATCCACCAGAGCATGTGGAGCTGGGCAATTAGAAACAGCTAAATTCAGAAAGATGGAAGAAACTATCATCTGGAGCTTGCAGCTTTCATCCTGAGCTGAGCTAAAACTAACCCTACTTCCCACCACCACCTAGTAGTACCTCAGGCAAATCATTACCTTCCTTCCTTGCTGGCCCCTCTTTCCAAGTTTTCAGCCTGTGACTTCCTCACAGGCTTTAAGTGGTTGTAGCCTGTTGGAAAGGCTGTCTTTCCCTCACTGAATTGCCTTTGTCAAAAATCAGGTGTGCGTATTTGTTAGGATTATTTCTCGGTTCTTTGTTCTGTTCCATTGATCGATGTGTCTACCCCTCTGCAAATACCACACAGTCTTGGTTTCAGTTGCTCTACAAGTTTTGAAACTGGGTAAACTGATTACTGTCACTTCGTTATTCTTTTTCAAAAATTTTTAGCTGTTATAATTCATTTGTCTTTCCATATAAATTTTAGAATAATCTTTTGTACATCTACAAGACTATCTTACTGGATTTTGATAGGAATTGCATTAAATCCCTATATCAATTCAGAGAGAAGTGACATCTTTATTATGCTGAGTCTTCCAATCCATGAACATACTATACCTCTCCATTTGTTTAGATCTTTGATTTCTTTTATCAGTGATGTGTAGTTTTCAGCATACAAGTCCTGGACATGTTTTGTTAGATTTAGACTAAGATTTTATTTTTATTAGTGATTATAAATGTATTTTTAATTTTGGTGTCCACATGTTCAGTGCTAGTATATAGAAATACAACTGATTTTTATATGTTTATTTTACAGCCTGTAACATTGTTTAATTCAATCATTGGTTCTAGGAATAGTTGCTTTTTAATAGCTTCCTGTGGTATAAAGCCTGAAATTAAGATTTACTATTAAAAGCTGTCATGATATATGGCAAAATCAAGGGTGCCTCAAATGGCCTAACAGCAAGTTCCTCACTCCCTGTGCTTTTGGAGATAAGGTCTCCTAACCAAATGGTTCTTCTTAGCACAGGGACCAGACACAGTGCCTGCTGATTCCCATGTACCAGGCTTTGGTTCCCCACTGACCTTCGGAATTATTCAAACAAGCCCATCCACCCTCCTGTGGGAACCAGGGCTCAACAGGTGGTCTTCTTACTACAAAATCTGTCCTCTACAGCCCCCTGCTTGTTCTCTCTGTTCCCAAGTGCAACCTCCAAGTGGCCCTGCTTGGTGTGTGGTGTCCTCCCCTGGGCTGGACATGAGCGTATATGACTGATAAACTGCTGTGGATCCCATCTGACCGGTGTCCCACGTGCAGCCACCCCCATAAGTCTAGAGTGGGAATCTCTCTCTCACCAGTGGAGAGAAGAGGAGGTGGCGTCACAAACCGAGAGGCTTAACCTCAACTGTGGGCACCTGGTCAGCTTTAACTAACTGCTCCTTTGATTACTAACTAGTTTCAGTTACTCTCTGGGATGTAACTGCCAATTGCTGGCCAGCTTGGGCTTTAGCTCATGTTCTGTTATCTCGAATGGATGTTGCCATCAATTCCCACCCTGGTTCCTCATTCTTACCAACAAGACGAGAACTGTCATGAATTTATAAAGTGAGGTTGTTATGAAAGTGCTGAGGGCCCAGAAAGCCTCAGTGTATTGTTCTTGGATTCCCAAAGAAAAAACCCAGAGGACTGGCTGTGAAAGACGTGGGTTTATTAGGACTTACATCCACAGGCGGCAGCTGACAGGCGAAGTTTACTGCCGCACCGCCTGCCACTGGTGAAGCTAAGCCGCTAAGTCCCGCCTCGCCTGCAGAAGGGGGGCGGGCACTGCTACTGTTTTGCCGCCCGCCCCCCCCAGACTTTCCCAACACAAGGTCTTATAGAATATAGAAAACAGAGAAAAACAGAGCATGCAGGGGGAGAGAGGTGTTTTTGTGCAAGCTGTGTGAGATAAAACTGCCCGCTGTTTTCTTGACTGAGGAGTTGGCTAGGCTCCCAGGGCCGCACAGTCTACTTACCAATGGCCTTCATCGTCTTCCCAGGGTGGGAGAGGGGTTGGAGCATGGGAAGGGGCCCGTGCCCCCATTTACCACACATTCCACCCCAACATGGCTACCTTCCCCCTCGACTCCCATACAATCTGCCCATTTTATTGTCCACAATATTGCCCCTGGGGAGGGAGAGAGGAGGATGGGTGAGACATTGTATTTATATTCCACAGCAAGAATATAACACACAGTAAAGGAATAACAGACTTATACATATTAGTATCGGAGTATATAAATCTGATCACAGGTCCCAAGAAAACTTTCCAAATTGTGTTGATATTGGACCATTCTGTCATGTTGACTGGATTTGTTTTCCAAGACAGCCCAGCAGTAGCAGAGAGGGGCATCTCTGAACACACCCAACAGTCTGAAACATTGGACCAAAGAGCTACTTCATCTGCCCATCTTGCAAAGCTGTTGGCTGCACTGAACTGAGGAGAAAGAGACAAATGTTTAGCAGGCACCAGTAGAAGCAAATCAGTACCAGTGGGT